AGAAACGGAAGAGGTTCAGCCTGTGTTCTCTCCTTTGAAACTGTAACCTGCTGATGGGGGGATGTTGAACTCTGGGTGGGAGACAGAGGTTAAGAGGGAAGATGGGGAAAGAAGCTGACAGAGAGGAAACTAAAAAGATTTCCAAGCACTGTTGGGCCGGGTGCAGTGGCTCATCACGCCTGTAATCCCAGCACTTTGGGAGGCCAAGGCGTGTGAGGTCAAGAGATTGAGACCATCCTGGCCAACATGGTGAAACCTCGTCTCTACTAAATATACAAAAATTAGCTGAGCGTGGTGGCGCGCATCTGTAGTCCCAGCTACTGGGGAGGCTGAGGCAGGAGAATCACTTGAACCCGAGAGGCGGAGGTTGCAGTTAGCCAAGATCACGCCACTGCCACTCCAGCCTGGTGACAAGAGCGAGAGACTCTATCTTAAAAAAAAAAAAAAAAGATTTCCAAGCACTGCTGATGACCCAATTAAAAGTTAGAGACCAAGAATTTCTAGTGATACCAACCCAGAGAACTGAATTATCTTCTCGAGCACAACTCAGAAATTCAGGTTGAGGAATTACAAGAAGTGTTTGAATGGTCTGTAGAACCAGCATAAAAACAACATGAGGCTCTGAATCACTGCCCTCTTAAAAAGACTCAGCTGTAAGACTGGTCATATTTTGCTTCAAATTTAAACAGTATCATAGCTTAACTCAGTCTCAGTAACAGGACTACAAACTTAATCACTGCCTTACATAACACTACTATAACTCCCTTATTATCTAGTGAGATATGAGAGTAAATTGAGTAACAAAATTTTGTCATTTAACTTGAGAGTAAACTGGATGAAATTAATGTTTCCTATTATTTGATCTCATCCTCTAAATACACAGCATTAGATGTTACACATCTAAAAATTTCATAGTTCATAAATTTCTAGCAAGAAACATACTAAGCATTTTCTCCTTAAAACACTTTCCAACCTATGCCAGTAAGTTTCAATATGCCAGTGAACTAAAGGAAAACGTATCTGAATACTCATTGTATCATCGTAAATCTCCCTTTAACACAGAAAACCACCTATATATTCTATATATTATCATATATTCTCTCAGGTAAATAAGAAAATACCTAATTTCTCTCAGGGGAAAGAAAAAACTGTGGGGAGGAAAAAAATACTCTGGACTCTCAGAAGTAAGATTTTCTATTACCCATAGATAGCTCACTATTAGCGGCCAGGCACAGTGGCTCCTCTAATCTCAACACTTTGGGAGGCTGAGGCAGGCAGATCACAGGTCAGGAGTTCAAGACCAGCCTAGCCAACATGGTGAAAGTCCATCTCTACTAAAAATACAAAAATTAGCCAGGCATGGTGGTGGATGCCTGTAATCCCAGCTACTTGGGAGGCTGAGGCAGGAGAACTGCTTGAACCTGGGAGGCAGAGATTACAGTGAGCCAAGATCGTGATGCTGCACTCCAGCCTGGGTGACAGAGCAAGACTTCGTCACGGGAGGGAAAAAAAAAAGATAGCTCATTATTAAACAGGATAATTTTCTCACATTGGCTGTATGTAAAAGAGGGTTAGCTTAAAAATTCCTCCTCTAGGTCCCTATCTCTCACCATATGCAAAGATTAACTCAAGATGGATTAAAGACTTAAATATAAGGCCCAAAACTATAATAATCCTAAAGAATACTTAGGAAAAAAGTTTATGATTAAGACCTAAAAAGCAAATGCAACAAAAATAGAAACAGACAAATGGAACTTAATTAAACTGAAGAGCTTCTGCACAGCAAAATAAACTACCAACAGAGTAAACAGACAACCTACAGGATGGGAGAAAATATCTGCAAACTATGCATCTGACAAAGGTCTAATATCCAGCATCTATCTATAAGGAACTCAAACAAATCAACATGAAAAAAAAAAACAACCTACTAAAAATCGGGCAAAAGATTGAACAGACACTTCTCAAAAGAAGACATACGAGCGGCCAAAAAACATGAAAAAAATGCTCAACATCACTAAGCATCAGAGAAATGCAAATTAAAATCACAATGAGATACCATTCACACCAGTCAGAAGGGCTATTATTAAAAAGTCAAAAAACAGATGTTGGCAAGGATGAGAAGAAAAGGGAACAGGTATACACTGTTGTTGGAAATGTAAGCTGTTCAACTCCTATGGAAAGCAGTATGGAGGTTTCTTGAAGAATTCAAAACAACTACCATTTGACCCAGCAATCCTACTACTGGGTATCTATCCAAAAGAAAATAAATCATTTCATCAAAAAGACATCTGAGCCAGGCACAGTGGCTACAACTGTAGTCCCAGCACTTTGGGAAGCCAAGGCTGAGTATCACTTGAGCCCAGGTGTTCTAGACCAGCTAGACTCCATTAAAAAAAAAAAAAAATGTCTGTGCTCGTATGTTTATCACAGCACCGTTCACAACAGCAAAGTCATGAAATCAACCTAAGTGTCCATCAACAACTGAATGGATAAAGAAAATGTAGTATGTATTAATATACATCATTGAATATTATGCAGCCATAAACAGAATGAAATCCTGTTCTTTGCAGCAACATGAATGGAGCCTGAAGGCTATTTATCAAGTGAAATAATTCAGAAACAGAAAATCAAATACCACATGCTCTCACTGATAAGACAAGTGGGTACAATGCATATACAGAGACATAAAGATAGAATGGGTACAATAAGTACACACAGACATAAAGATGAAAATAAACAGACACTGGGGGCTCCAGAAGGAGGAGAAAAGGGATAAAAAATTACCTATCAGGTACAATGTTCACTATTTGGGTGAGAGATTCACTAGAAGTCCAAACCTAACCATTACGCAGTATATCCATGTTAATTACGTGCATATGTACCCCCAAATCTAAAATTAAATTAAATTAAAATTTTGTTTAAAAAACTCCTCCTCTAGGCTTCAAGATAAAGATTTGAATATTAGTAGTTATTCAAGCAAGAAGTCACAGGACAAAATAAAAGTTAGGAGACCTAGTCAACAAGTGTGGCTTTAATTATGGTCTCTATGTAGATGACTTACAACTTGGAATCTCTAGCCCAGACTTCTCCTTCAGTCTTCAAAACCAAACTCATAATCTTAAGATCCACCCAACCAATTCCAACACCCACTCACGGCCACCACCCCCACCATAAATCTGGCCATATCTTAATATTGGCACAACCATTCAAACAATAACACCTGGCTACTTCACCTTTCACATCCCATCCGTTATTAAGTATGATAATTTTGCCTCTTAAATATCTCTCAAGTCAGTCCACTTTTCCCTGTATTCACCAACACTTCCCTATTCCAAAATTTCATCATCTTTTGCCTAGCAATGCTGCAATGGTCTCATAATTTACGCCCTTGACCTACGACTACTGCTCCCCATCCCACCTTGCTGTCACAGCTGTTCTGCACTCTGCTATACACCTGATCTTTCTGAAACACCTATCTTATCATACATCTCCTCCTTTCAAATATTTTTGTCAACTTTCCAAAGCTCCAGAGATAAAGCCCCTAAATCCTTGGCATAGCACACAAAGCCTTGCAGTCTGTGCTCAAACCACACTGGCTTCTGGGTCCTGGAAAATGCCATGCTCTCTCTCACCAACAGTACCTTTTCATGTGTTTTTCCCTCAACTAGAGGGCTCTTTCCCTCCCCTTTGCCTGATTAACCTTAAACTGTCTTCAGATGTCAGCTCTAGCATAACCTCCTCAAGGCTTTCCCAGCTTCACTGACAAGGCCAGATTATCTTACTTTATGCTTTCATAGAATATTAGCACATACTAGCTTTACTTTTATTTATATGATCATCTGAAATCTGTCTGCCTCCCTGTCTAGACCATGAACACGAGGAAGGCAGAGACCAAAAATGTCTGGGTTCACCAAGGTTTCCTTAGCACCCAGCACAATGTGTGGCACATGGTGAATCCTAATAATACATGTTCAATGAATTAAGTACCCGCTGGAATATTCACCAGACAAAACAACTACTGTTCATTAGTGACAAAACTCTACACCTTCACTGTCTGTGATGATGGAACTGTTCCATTATCTGCTCTGTCCAATATGGTAGCCACTAGCCTAGTGTGGTTGCTGAATACTTGAAAAGTGCTAAGAACAGACGCATGGAATTTTTCATTTTATTTATTTTTAACTCTTATTCAAAACTATAATAGTTTTCTCTTTAATTAAGATGTAAAAAGCCACACGTGGCTAGTGGCTACTGTACTGAACAGGGCAGGTCTTGCTCCTCGAAAAGCAGTAAGTTAAAAAAGAGGGTAAGGGCAGTAAATAAATTGGAGAGTTATTTTCAAAATGATCTTCGGGGGGCCTACCATGAAATCGGCTTTCTTCATTGTGCATTATCTGCGCTTTCTAGTTTTCCAGACTGTTGGGAGCCACATCACAAGCCTCTTGCATTCCAAGCCCCTCCTATCGGCTGGGAAACCCCTTTATTGCTACAAATGATTGTCCAGAGGAGGAAAACCTGCGGGGAGCCTCTCCAGACTAAGTGATCGCGCGGTGTACATTATCCACACTGCTCCCTCAGGGCAGTCCTGCAATTCAGTCAAGCTAATCTGTTCACAGTCTCCCCAACAAGATGCTCCCCAGGCAACCACTCGCTCCGCTCCTACACCGCCTTTTCCCTCCTTCAGGGCTCGACACACCCGTGGTCCTCTCTCAGCGTTTCTCACCCCCACTCACGGGGAATGCAGACTCCCCTGAACGTCTGTGGGAGTTCAAAAGGCCCAAGACCCACCGAGGGGGAGGAAACGAGAAGTCTTTGCCACAAAGCCTTGGAGACGCAGAGCAGCCTGCGGGAACCTAGGCTGGAGTCGGGGCCGCCTACTAGCTTCAGCCGCGCGCGTTTTCTCCGTCAAGCTGCGTGACCGGCGGAAGGGCGGAGCGCTCGGGACCCAGCCTCCACCCTCCACTCGCCGCGGCTCCACACTCCTCCCCGGCCCGCCTCACCTTCTCCAGGGAGGTACGCTCGCCCTCCGAGTAGCGGTGCCTCGGAGGCGATGGCAGAGGCAAAATCCTGCCGGGGTGTGCCTGCAGCCAGGCCTTGGCTTCCTCGTCCTCCTCGTCCTCCCCGTCGTCTGTACTTTCCAGATGCTGGTGCCCGTAGTGAGAGTCGGAGTCCAACTCCCGCCCAGCCTCTTCCTGCACCTCCTCCACCACCACGACGTCGTCCAAGTTCGCCGCCGCCGCTGCCGCCGCCGCAGCCGCTGTAGCCTCCTCCTCCTTCTCCTCCTCCTCCTCCTCCTCCTCCTCCAGCTCGCCCGGCCATGGCAGATCCTCGGGCTCCATGTTGGTGTCTCGCTCTGGGCGGCAGAGGAGGAGGAGGGAGGGGGGAGGGAGGGGAAGGGAAGAGACCTGACTGGCGGTTGTGGCCCAGCGTAGGCGCAGTGCCGCCCGCCTGGGCGGGGCCGGGAGACCGCGCGCGCGTTGCTAGGGACGCCGCGCGGGGCCCGGCGGGAAGGCCCCAGGGCGGAGATTTGCGACAGGCGACGCCGCCGCCTCGCCGCCGTCACCGGCCGGGACCTTGCGAACTGTACTGTAAGCTCACAATAAACCGGGACTGGGTGCTTCCCGGGGGCGCAGAGGGCCCCGCGCGAGGACAGTGTAGTTCTCGGCTGGGGTGGAGTTTTAGCCCCTGCACAGAGAAGAGATCAAACTCTAGGACGCACCCGTTATAATCACACATGCAAATTATAAAGTTGTAAAGGTTGAGTACCTCCTAACGTGTCAGGCTATATGGTGGGCGCTTCAACGTAACCGTGGAAAAGTGTCACGGGTTGTTAGATTAAGAACTGGGCACTGGCATCAGAAAGATGGGAGTGTGAATCCTGGCATCACCGCTTAAAGCGATGTGACTTTGTGTCTCCAAAACGATGATAATAGGCCATCGCATAGGATGAGTGTGATAATTAAAGGAAATAATGTGAAGGACTTAGTGATAAGTTGGTTATTGTACAATAGCTCATTAGATACTCACGGTTCTGTGAGACAAGTATTACTATTTCATGTATGAAGAATCTGAGGCTCAAAAAATTAATTTGCCCAAAGTTTCTTACCTAGTAAGTGGCTGACTCAGCATGCCATCCCAGGTCCTCTGTTAGTGTAGGAATTGCCCTGGCCTAGACCAACCAGCTGATAAAGGGTAACAGCGCAAATATTTATACGGATAGTACATATGTTTTGGTGGTTCGACAATGATTTTGGAGTTCTTTAAAAACAAAGATTTCCTGACCGCTTCAGGAACCTCTACAAAATGAATGGCAAATTAAAGTGTCTTGAGATGCCATGTAACCAAACACCACCTGTACCCCAATAACCTATGGGAAAATTTTTTAAATTAAAATTTTAAAAATAATAATCTTGAGATGCTTCACTGTTACCTAAGAAAATACCCATAATTAAAGTGGAGTCCAGCAAAAAGTCTTCATAGTATTACCCACAATAGAAGACATACATTGATAATGATGCTGAACCAATGTTGGTGGGGCAATTTTAGGGTTATTGCCAAGGAGGTATGTCTTACCTACCTGTCAATGACCCAATCCTGGCAAAACTATAAAGGTAGAATAAGAACTGGTGCCCAGTCTTGGAGTTCTGTTGAACACTTCTAAATGGACTATGAGTACATTAGCGTTATTATTTATTCTTAAGGGGTTTAGGGGTTCTCCTTGCTGGAGACCTATTACTGTAATGGTAGAAAAAAATTGCTTAATTTTGTATTTCTGAATGTGAAATCTCAATGTTTATCTCCAGTAAGAGGACACACATTTCACTGATATTAAATAACTCTGTAAAGTTTTACCTTTTTAGAAACTCCACTATCTTTTTGCATCCACAAATTTCAGGAAAGATAAAGAGAACTAATAGAATTCTAAAAAATAGTTTTCAAAGCTCTCTAATTTCTGAAGCCCAGAGTACTTCTATTTGCCTTCATGACAACAGGTCAATCCATTCTAAGACCCATGAGTTATCTCCTGAGTTAATAACAGGCTTCCTCATGTACTTGTGAATTACTTCCAATACTAGATACTACTAATATAAGCTGCTATCACTAATTGCTGCAGGGGACTTATAAGAGAACTCCTGCTTTATCAACAGCAGATAGAAGCTGCATTCTTAAAGCACCCACCTAAGCAGCCTCTGAAGTTAGAGATCTGGTCTTCTGAAAAAGCATTAGTAAACAATTTCCCTTGAGCCTCAATGCAAAAAAAAAAAAAAAAAAAAAAAAAAAAAAAAAAATTGTCAGGTACTGTCAACAACTGACCCAGCAGTAAAACTACAAGACATTGATCCTTGGATTCCTATTACACAACTAAAAAGACATGCATCATTTTCTCCTGGCGACCGGACATTCCATTCTGTTGGAAGACCTCAAACTGAAGATTCTTGGGACTTCCCCAGAAGCTGCTGACTGCAGAAATGGGTGGTTTATACCCAAGACAATAGGACAAGATTAATTTTCTGATTCTTTGGCATCTTTTACCCTACCACTAATCTTGCTTATTGCATTTTGACACCCTTGATTAACTAACAAATTGACTTCTCAGGGAGATAACCTTATCTTCATCCTGTTACTTTTGACTCCCTATATTCTGCTACTTAAAATAAACAATAATTAGCCAGGTGCAGTGGGTCATACCTGTAATTCCAGCACTTTAGAAAGCCAAGGTGGGAAGATCACTTGAGACCAGGAGCCTAACTAACCTAGGCAAGGTAGCAAGACCCCCATCTCTACAAGCAATAAAAAATTAGCTGGGCATGGTGGCATGTACCTGGAGTCCCAGCTACTCAGGAGGCTGAGGCAAGAGAATCCTGGGAGCCCAGGAGTCCAAGACTGCAGTGAACTGTGATCATGCCAGTGGGCAATAAAGCGAAACCCAATCTCTGTAAAAAAAAGAAAGAAAAAGGAAGAAAGGAAGGAGAAGAAAGAAAAGAAAGAAGGAAAAGGAAGGAAAGAAGGAAAGGAAGGGAAAGAAAAAAGGCAGAAAAGAAACACTTCACTCTGGAGTGTTTTTATCAAACCATAGCTACTGCTCTTAAGGAATTGTTGACAAAATTTAATAGATGTGCTTTCATAGACTTCATCAAGTAGATTTTCTTCTGTAGGTCACTTCTGGTACTTAAGCATTCCTCACAAAATTCATCCCAAACTTCAGTCTCATAAAAATGGACCTTGACCTACACTTCAACAGAATGTTTCCCTGAAGTCATTATAATCCTATGAGAAAAACCTACCCCTTCAGGAATAGAAACTAATATTGGGGCTATTCTTGAAACACTACTCAGGTCGTTCTCTTCCAAAACATTCCAGCCTGCTTTGGAGAAACCTGTTTAACTTCATCCAAGAAATCTGCTTATCTTGAGGGAAAGAAAGTTGGCTTGTCCCTGATGTGCTAAATAGCCATTATCCTCCCAATACAGTCTGTACTCCCCTAGGGTACTACTTCCTTATGGGAATATCTGGCTTGCACACTAACCTATTCTTTATATTGAAGCTAACTGTTAGAGACCCTCCAGTGCTTAAAATTACCACCCCTCCAGTAGACTGTTTCTCTGAAAAGAACACCCAGAAACCAACCAAATGAAGCAAGCACAGAATCACAGACTACTTGGGATAACTCCCAGGAGGGATAACCGGCTCACTTTTCATGGGTATTCTGTGAATGAAATTCCCACAACAAAGGTAATACAACAAAAAAGAGGTCCAAAAGGGGTCTCTGACCTTAGCAGACCCCATCGATGGCAAAACTTCTGCTATAGCAGCTCAGAAAACCACTTAAATTTGAAGTCCTTAGCCAGAGTTTTCATGGATAATCATATAACCCTTGATTTCTTCTTAGCTGGCCAAGAAGGAGTTTGTATTTAGCAGGACTTGTCACCATAGTCACATACTTCAGGGCCGGTAGAGCATACTACAGAGCCAGTGGAACATGAGTAAACTGAAAAGAGAAAAGCCTCCTGGCTCCCTAAAAACAGACTCAGCTGGATTCTGGGGCATGTGTTCATTGCCAGGACTTTATAATTTGGGCCTCTGGCTTCAAGACTTTTTACAAAGATGGATAATCATTTTGTTTCTGGTAATTACTTCTTTTGCACTTGGTCGATGTATCCTGTCCACAGCCCTAGTTTCTGCACAGCCATTGTCATATTGTATGATTCAACAAATCCTACAACAGAAAGTGTAATTAACCCAACTACAGACCACATCCTCCAGATGAGCATAAATTTAGCAATAGTGAAAATCTGAATACCATAGATTAATGGTCCTGTGGCCTGACTTTGTCTGCCCTTGACCAAATGGAGGACTCAGAAAATAAATCTAGGGTGCCAGGGAACTGATCTGACACAGGTAACTAAGCCTCAGTGTTGTCACAAGCTGGCCTGGCATTCACCATCATCCCTCAGTATTCTGCTATTGAGCATAAACAATCTCACAGAACACCAACATCACACAAGGTCTTTCTGTGACTGAAGAAACAAGACATGACAAGACCAGTTCATAATCTTGCCTAAGCACATACAAAAACAACGTTACTGTGAAAAAAAAACACCTCCCTTTTCCAGTTAATTTGATTGCTGCTTTTTAAAATCAATTATAACTCCACCATCACTGTGTTTTTTTTTTTTTTTTTTTTTCACTGTCACCTAGGCTGGAGTGCAGTGGCACGATCATGGCTTACTGCAGCCTTGACTTTGTCGGCTCCAGTGATCCTCTCACCTCAGCCTCCTGAGTAGCTGGAACCACAGGCGCGTGCCACCATGCTCAGCTAATTTTTTTTTTTTTTTTTTTCGGTAGAGATGGAGTTTCGCCATGGTCCCCAGGCTGGTCCTGAACTCCTGGGCTTAAGCAATCCACCCGCCTTGGCCTCCCAAAGTGCTGGGGTTACAGGCATGAGCCACTGTGCCAAGCCCATCACTGTATTCTTTTCTTCTAGATAAAATTTGTTAAGATGCCCAATCATGGAATTACTCCCTCGTCTTGACAGCATCCAATTCACAGAAAAGCAATGGCCTTTTAAACTTTCCCCCTAAAATCACCTAACACAAGGCAAATCCTATTAACTCCTAATAACATCCCGATACGGAGGTATCTCATGATCTCCCATGATGTGTGTTCTCCCTTGTTGCAATGAATAGTGAAACCAACACTTTGTTGCTAGAGAACATTGACACGTTAAACTAAAGGAAGCAATTACGTAAGTTCTAGTTTTACGCTAGTTTTTATTTTTATCTTTTTTTAGGCATAAGGTCTTACTATGTTGCCCAGGCTGGACCCAAACTCTTAGGCTGAAGCAATCCTCCCACCTCAGCCTCTTGTGTAGCTGGGACTACAGGCACATGCCTACACACAGCTTGCCAGTTTTAAACTTCCCATGAGGGGAATGCGTTCCTAGTTACCAAAATCCTGGTTTCCGTCTTGAAGCACAGTACCTCCTGATCAAAGGTTTACTGAGTACTTTCTAGGTTCCAGGCACTGTGCTAGGAAACAGGAATGTTGTCTGCTGGTACCAACCTACTATGGCCAAGCAAGTGCTCCTGGCAATGTTTCCCTCTAGTAGCAGCAGGTATTAAGATGCTGCTGCCAAAAGGAGCTGAGGGTCCTGAGAATGGGAAAAGATAGGTGGAGGCCCATACGGAGCATGAGACCTACCCATATACTTTGAACAGAGGATCCTATACCTGGGACTCATGGTGCAGGTTCCTGGCTATCAATCCCCATAGCAGGACTGCACCAGATGAGTGCATAAAAACGCCAGACAACTCAAAATGGAGCAGATTCCCGCTGCCCCACATCTAACTTACCCACAGGCCCAAGAGAATGCTCAGACTGGACTTGCCCTTCTCATGGTGCAGCCCTTTCTTCATCTAGGAGCCAAAAGGCAATGAAAGAAGGAGCAATTATGCCCTCCTTTCCTCCTCCTACATCCATTGTTATTGCTGCCACCTTCTCCTCCTCCTCCTTTTGCTTCTCTTCCTCCCATCCTTGTCTTTCTTCTTCTTTTCTCTCTTTGTTTCTGGATAAACAAAGATGATAGACGAAAAAACCTGTCAATTATAGAAAAAATATCTTAACTGAGGTTTGAGAAGGCAAGCATAAGACAAAGGGCAGACATCAGGAAAAAGTGAAGGAACTGGTCATTAAAACCATAAAACACTGTAACATGTGCACACTGCTACAGAGTCTGCATTTGCTATGTTCCCATGTATCCCCCATTGCTCATGCTTTTATTTGATTAAGTTTCCTGATCAAATGTCAGAGGTCTTCTCTGACCATCCAGTCTAAGATATGAAACAGCAGGCATACCCCACATACTCCACCATTCTGCAACCCATGACTCTGCTTTATTCTTACACCTATTATTAGCTGACATTACATATGTTTGTCTACATTCTGTCTCCACCCACTAGAATGTAAGTGTCATGAAAGCAGGGAGCTTGTCTTTTTCACTTTAGCTGTAACACCTGGAATAATGCCTGATATATAGTTGCCCTCAATGTTCAGTGAATAAATACATAAATGCCCTTTTGGTACTCCTCTCACAAAAGAGATTTAAAGAGAAAAAGAGGCATTCTCCCCGATTTTACCTTAAATGTCTGGAAAATCCAGGCAGTTTGAGGGCTCGAAGACTTTGGTGGTGGTGCCCAGAGATTTCCCAAGGCAGCTTGGACATCCACAGAAGAACGTAAGGTCTGTCAGGCAAGAGCAGAAACACCTATAGAGGCTAATGGAGGAATTAGTGCTTCAGAGATAAAACCACACAGGAGAAACCGCAGTTGTGCCCAGCAGAGGCCAGTGTACCTGCGGGAGAGGCTGTCCACTGCTGGAGTGGTGACATTGCCCATCACCCATCATGTGACTGTTGGCTGGGCTGCTTGGGGACATTCTGTATGATGGACTGTGTTAAGGACTGGATGTTTGGGTCGCCTCAAAACTCAGGTTGGCCAGGCACAGTGGCTCACACCTGTAATCTCAACACTTTGGGAGGCTGAGGTGGGTGGATCACCTGAGGTCAAGAGTACAAGACCAGCCTGGCCAACATGGCGAAACCCCATCTCTACTAAAAACATAAAAATTAGCCAGATGTGGTGGCGTGCACCTGTAATCCCAGCTACTGGGGGGCTGAGGTAGGAGAATTGCTTGAACCCGGGAGGCGGAGGTTACAGTGAGCAGAGATCGCACCGCTGCACTCCAGCCTGAGCAACAGAGCAACACTCCATTTCAAAAACAAAACAAAAGAAAAACCTCATATGTGGAAGGCCTAACCCCCAGTGTAATGGTATTTGTAGGTGGGACCTTTCTGAGATAATTAGATATAGATGAGGTCATAAAGGTAGAGTCCCAATGATGGGATTAGTGCCCTTTTAAGAAGAGGAGAGAGAGATTGCTCTTTCTTTACCATGTAAAGACACAGCAAGAGGGTAGCCATCTACAAGCCAGGAAAGGGGGCCCTCGCCAGACACTGAGTCTGCTAGTGCCCTGATCTTATACTTCCCAGCCTCCAGAGCTATGAGAAATAAATGTTTAAGCCACCCAGTCTAAGGTATTTTGTTATGGCAGCCTATGTTGACTACAACAAACTGACAACTCCCAGAAATACCTGAAGGCAGGTCTGACATTCATCTGGTGTGCATGAATGCTGTTCTGGTTGTTAAAATACTGAGATATGGCCGGGCGCAGTGGCTCAAGCCTGTAATCCCAGCACTTTGGGAGGCCGAGGCGGGCGGATCACAAGGTCAGGAGATCGAGACCATCCTGGCTAACTCAGTGAAACCCCATCTCTACTAAAAATACAAAAAATTAGCCAGACGTGGTGGTGGGCGCCTGTAGTCCCAGCTACTCGGGAGGCTGAGACAGGAGAATGGCGTGAACTCAGGAGGCAGAGCTTGCAGTGAGCCGAGATCGTGCCACTGCACTCCAGCCTGGACGACAAAGCGAGACTCCATCTCAAAAAAAAAAAAAATACTGTGATACTTTCATATTCATTGGTAAATAGCCAATGCCCCAAGCACCCTTCCCCCTTCACTCCCATTACCTTCTGCTACCCAGACCTCCCCAGGATCCAAAAACTAAAGGATTAATGCCTAGTACAGCTTGAGCCCCTGTTTTGATTGGTCCATGCACTTGTCATTCCAGGTGCTAAATATTTTTAATATCACCACTACCTGGAGTAACGGAGAAATGAGGCCCTATTTGAAGAAGAACCAGAACCAATGAACCGGAAGATTACTTTTTTTTTTTTTTTTGGAGATGGAGTCTCGCTTTGTCACCCAGGCTGGAGTGCAGTGGTATGATCTCAGCTCACTGCACCCTCCACCTCCCAGGTTCAAGCGATTTTCCTGCTCTGCCTCCTGAGTAGCTGGGATTACAGGTGTGTGCCACCACCCCTGGATAATTTTTGTGTTTTTAGTAGAGACGGAGTTTCACTATGTTGGCCAAGCTGCTCTCAAACTCCTGACCTCATGATCTGCCCACCTCAGCCGCACAAAGTGCTAGGATTAAAGGCGTGAGCCACCATGCCCGGCCAAGAGGTTACTATTAACATAGACTTACCTGAAGCCAGAATGCAGGTTCTGGTGACATTTTTTAATTTGTAAAAACATTATGGTCTGGGCGCTGTGGCTCACGCCTATAATCCCAACACTGTGGGAGGCCCAGGCGGGTGGATCACCTGAGGTCAGGCATTTGAGACCAGCCTGGCCAACATAGCAAAACCCTTCCTCTACTAAAAATACAAACATTAGCGGGGCATGTGGCACATGCCTATAATCCCAGCTACTCGGGGGGCTGAGACAGGAGAATTGCTTGAACCCGGCAGGCAGAGGTTGCGGTGAACAGAGATTGTGCCATTGCACTCCAGTCTGGGCAACAGAAAAAGACTGCGTCTGAAAAAACAAAAAAACAAAACAAAACAAAAATGAAACTCCAGCTTGCTGGAGCTGTGCTAAGGGCAACAACCCAGGGAAGGAGTCTCTGAGGACCCTTGAACATGGACCAGCATGGCAGTGACAGGAGTCATCAAACTGAGCCTACTACCTGTGAAAGATGAAGCTCAGGGGGCCACTGGGAACTGCAGAGTCAGCTGGCTGTCTCTTATCAAAAGATTCTGCTTTCAAACAAATGCCTTGAAGGTTCAGGATTTTTTTTTAATGGGAAAAGAGAGTGTAGAGGTAAATAACCTGAGAAAGTCAGGTTCTAACAGCTATCCAGGTTACATCTCTCCATAACCCCTTTCCAATCCTAAGGCTCTACCTTGTCACCATGGCAGGTCCAGGTCTGTCCTAAGTCTCCAGTGGCATTTACTTGTGAAAATAAACAAAGACTAATCAAATGAGAACAAGCAAAGGATATTTATTCTGAACTTGCTATAGCAAGGGAGTCAGCACTGTTTTGTGTTTTGGCAGACTCAAAGGCAGGCAGAGGAGTGGGAAAATCTTATAGTGAAGAAGAAAGGAAGGCTTCAGGTGTGCCCTGATTGGAGGCCGTTGGCATAGGAAACCGTTGGAGGGCTAACTGGAAACTAGGCATCTTACAGGAGTTGTTAGGGGGGAATATCTGGTTTTCTCTGGTTAGTCCTAAGTTGCAAGCAAAGACAAAAATTAGGGAAGCTGTCAAGTTATTAAAGTCCTAGCCATTTGGGGCTGATTATTATAAGGATTACTGTTTGGCTTCTTAGATTGTTATTAGAGACAGCAATCTGGCTTCCTACAAGTCTGCCATAGCAGGCTAGCTTCCTGGACTGGTTATTGTAGATATGGGTTGATTTCCTGGGAAGATTACTACTGGTTGTGGGTCAAAGTTCTGCTTTTTAAAAATAGAGACAGGATCTTGCTCTGTTACCCAGGCTGGACTGCAGTGGCATGATCGTAGCTCACTGCAGCCGCAAACTCCTGGACTCAAGCAATCCTCCCACCTTGACCTCCCAAAGGGCTGAGATTAAAAGCATGAGCCACCACATGCAGCTAAGGATTCTATTCTTATATATGATCTGGCTGTTACTAGTTTGTATATTCAGTCAAATATACAAATACTCAACAAATATTTATTAAGTAGCTACTAAATTCCAGTCACTTTGCCAGATGCTAGAGTAACAGAAATTAAATGACATCTTCCCTGCTTTCAGGATTTACAGTCTCATGGGGAGACATAGACAGAGTTGCCCCTTAGAAATCAGTGACCAGGTTTGCTTACACTGGATTCCTAGAATATCTCCCTGGAGGCAACCCTGGGAATATTTTTCATGAAGCCAGTAATAAAATTATTTTCTTAGTCTGTTCAGACTGTTATAACAAAATACCATAGACTAGGTAGCTTATAAATGACAGATGTTTATTTCTCACAGTTCTGGAAGCTGGAAAGTCCAAGATCAAGGTACCATCAGATTCAGTGTCTAACAAGGGCCCGCTTCTTCATAGACAGTCATCTTCTCACTCTACTCTTACATGGCGAGGGAGGGAGGGAACTCTCTTAGGCTTTTTAAAATAAGGGCACTAATCACTTTCTGATACAATCACCTTGGAGTTAGGATTTCAACATATGAATTTTGGAGGAACACAAATATTCAGACCATAGTAATTATGAATTGAGGAATTTCAGCAATCCTTATAATAAAAATATCTTATGCCTGGTTATTAAAATGTCACTTTAATTGCTGCTGTTCTCTATAGTGTATGAACCAAGATTGGGATTGGTTGATATGGCAGAGCCATTACTCTCATTGAATGAATTGTTTACCTGAGGTTCCTGCTGTGATTGGATGCAGGAATGACTTTATACCAAGATAATTCTTCACCAAGGTATAAAGTTAGGTATAGGTAGGGTAGTAATTAGATCAGCTGGTGCAGACAATCCCAGTGTCTACATCTGAAAATACTTAAGCCATCCAGCAGCTCTTATATTGCAAGTGGACAGTCTGAATGCCAAACTGATGTCTCCTGAGGCATAGCCTTCCAGA